GGGGCCTCTCTCTCTTGTGCCCGAGCAGGTGGATCAACAGTCATCTTGCCACTCCTGGTCATGATGGCATTGCAGTGCTCATTCGGGTTTTGAGGATGAGGGATGGTCTGACCGGGTAGAGTACCAGGAGCCCTTTGGGCCACTGCTTGAGCCACACTCCCCAGCTGGGTCTGGATATCCTGCAAGCCAGCCTGTGTGTTCCTCTGGCCAGCTTCCAGAGCCAGGAATTTACCCGATGCCTTTTCCATGAACTGCTCTATAGTATTGAATTTCTGAGCACTAGAACTGGCGAGAGAACCCACCAATTCCCGCAGTTCAGGCATCTGATCATTCTGCACTGGGCGGCAGGGGCTGCACCTGGCTGCTGGAAAGGTCGCGGCTGTGATGGAGCAGCATGCCCCTGCATGGGCTGGTAGAGAGACTGCTGTGGCTGCTGGAACTACCCCTGTCTGGGCTGATATGGTGGCCTCTGGAAGCCCGGTGGTCCCTAGGGGACTGGTGGTCTGGAATTTGCCCCACCCCAGGAGAAGTTGGGATGCTGGCGCCACCCCTCGTTGTAAGTATTGCTGTAGGGGTCGTTGCGCCTAACATTGTTGATGAAGTTCACCTGCTCCTGGGGTGTTGTCGATTCCTTCATCGCTTGGCAGTCTTCCACAGTGTGATGGGTGCTCTCGCACCACTGGCAGAGCATCGCCTGCGGTTGTCCTGTACCTGCAATCAAACCAGAACGATCGATAGCTGACACCAGCTTCGATACCACCTGTACCAAATCAGATGACTGGGTGCCCACAGCATGCACACCCCGTCTTGGTGCTCGTCTCGATCTCATGGCAGTGCCCCAATCGTACTCGTTCTCCGCCATCTCCTCAAAGAGTTAATTCAGCTGTGGCGGTGTTTTGGTCAGCATGTTCCCGCCACAGACCGAATCAATCAGCTGCTTCTCCTCCTGAAAGAGGGCATGATAGAAGGTTCCCACCTTGAAAGCATCATTGAAACCATGATTGGGACACCTCAGGAAGAGACTGTTGTATCTCTCCCAAGCATCCCGGATGGTCTCATCTTCATCCTGGGTGAAGTGGGTGATCTGCTTCTGCAAGTCCGCCGTCTTCGACGGAGGATGGTAGCGGGTGAGGAACTTGTTCGCCAGGTTGGCGAACGTGGTGATAGAACCTGGAGGTCGAGTATCTAGACACTCCTTGGCCTGGATGGCATCTGCTGGTACCCCATTGATCTTGATTCCATCAATGAGCTCGTGGAATCGCCTGAGATGTGATCGGGGGCACTCCCCCTCCTTACCACGGAACACCACTGAACCGCGCAGCATGGTGATTACTGAGGTGCTCACCTCAAAATTGTTGGCTGGGACATGAGGATGTTGAATGGGTGACCTCATGTCCGCAGCTCTAGCGATCCAGTAATGTCTCATGGTCTGCTCCTCGGGATAGACCACAGCATGGCCCTGTGGATCAGCCATCTCTTCTTCCTCTTCTTCTAACTGCAGCTGTGATAGCGCCTCCTCCGCAGCCAGTCGCGCCTTTAGAGCCCTCTTGAAGTTTCTGCAGGTTCGTTCAAGCTCCTGGTCTAGTGGTAGTAGATCTCCCGACTGGCTACGGGTCATGCACTACCTGCACACAATCAGCAGAAGCAACCCGTGAAGGCACACAGGTGGAAGAGATAAAATGCAGTAAATAAAAAGCTAGAGTAACAAATTCTCACGTTTCCCCAATAACCTAGAGGGTCCCCGGCAACGGCGCCAAAAACTTGGCACGCCAAAACACAACACCAATCTGCGACCAAGTGTAATCGCAGACCGGGAATGCAGTAACAGGCAAGTTATATTATCAACCCGGGGTCTAGGTCTACTGCTTACTCAGTGATTCTCTATTATCTAGCCAACTAAGTAAGTGATTGTTGTTTAAAAGCAAAATCAGAAAGAAAGCAGGAAATTATTCGGTTTTCTCAAGCAGGTAAGAGTCACTCGGGAATGAGTCCCCCTAGCTCCTTAGTTAGTTTCAATTGTATTTCCCTGGGTTGATTTACTGTTGATTAGACTGCAGAAGATCCGACAGTAGCTTGGAATCTCTTAAGCTGACCAAGCCCTCTCAGTCTATCTACCCGGCAGACGACTAGTCTTCACCGGGATAGAAAGCTGAAGCAGTAAGAACAGAACTCCACTACTGGAATTGGATTCCAGTACAAAGCAATCAACTGGCTAACTCTCGTATAGCCAATCTCCTACTATCGAATGATGAGACTCTAGCAACCTAATCAGATTCTATCTATCTCAGATTGCAGCAGGAATCAGGAAAAGTTGATCAGACTTCAATTGACTCAATAAACATGCATCATTCGATTAAAATCAAACAGTAATATCATCCCAAGTCATTACAATCAATCCCTAACACATAGAACTAGGGTTCTTCATCCCTAAGTGAGAGAGGGGTTCTACTCCATAGAGAGAGAGAGGAAAACAAGATACAAAGCAGTCATACTCATACTGATGGGAAGAATCTGCTCTGGGATGATGATTTCCACTCCTATGACGATCTCCAAGCTTGATTTGATGAAACCCAGCTCCAAGATAGCTTCTAGGATGTGTTGTTCGTCCTTTCTCTCTCTAGGGCTCTGTTTTTGCTCAAAAAGTCCGATTCTCTCTCTTGCAGCCCGGAATTGGGTTAAAACCAGGAATTCCCGACTCACACGGGCAGGGCCACACGGCCGTGTGGCATACCCAGTTGCCCGTGTGAGTCAAAACACTGCGTTCCAATTAGTTCGATCTTCAGGCTTCTCACACGGCCAGGGTCGCACGGCCGTGTGGGAATTCCATCTGCCCGTGTTTGCTCTCGGCGAAACTCGCACGGCCAGGCCACTCCTTCACACGGCCGTGTGAATTGTCAAGGCAAGCCGTGTTTGCTCTCGCACAATCTCACACGGCCACAAATATGAGTTGCACGGCCGTGTGAGTTGTGGGTGTGCCCGTGTGGCCTCCTTTTTGACTTGCCTCGCGCCCGATCTTCGTCCAATCGACCCCAAACTTGCTCTCAAGCCTCCATTCACTACTAGGACCTGCAATATCACAAACAAGCACAACCTAGCGTGAAATCGGCCTAAAACACGAGAAATCACATCTCAAACGGTGTAAGAACAGGGGTAAAAACATGTGTAATTAACGGTCTATCATGAGGTCTTCAAGTATATTACTAGAATTTATCGTTTAGTAACTAGTAATCGTTCTATTCTGAAAGGTCACACATACTAATTTCATTTTCAACTTGGATTCATTACACAAAATTGCAAGTTGGAGATGTAATGAATCCAAGCTTTTCTACTAGTCGAACTAGTATCAAAGTTGATTTATTTATTTGACTTTAATCTTTTTTAGTAAACATTGAATATCAGATAACCTCATACGAAATATAACTTTACGTGGGATTGAATATTATTTAAATTAGTGCAGGAGTTGAGAATTAGTCTACATTCATATGTTCAGTGTCATATTCAATACTAAGTAAAGTCATATTTAGTATCAACTCAACATATATTCGATTTCAGGTTAATTCATATTCAATTTCATTTACGCTCATTCCATACATTTCTACTTGCCTTCGTACACATAATTGACGAGTCATTGGCTTTGGACCCAAGAATCAAAGGGATCTTCTTCGAATCAACAACGATCTTCCTGCGCTCAAATTGGCCAATCTTCAAAAGCTTACCTAGATTAGCAATTGTCAATTAAAAAAAAAGTTGACAGCGAGAAGAAAAGGTTAGCAATAACGGTAGGCGGAGTTTGAGGCACCTCTCATTTTTAAAAAAAAATCATTTAAAAAAGAAAATAGGAAGAGATAAACTGGAAAAAAGGAAAATAATTTGAGAGAGATTGAAAACTTTTATTGAAAAAAGTTGAAGAGAAGATGGAAAAAGAAAGAGAGAAAAATGAAAAGGGGAAGAAATTTCACTTTGTGGTCAAGGTCCCTTGACTCTTTTATGTAGATTAGCTCGCTCTAATTTGTGGGTCCTCTCTAATTTGAGCCAACCTTCAAGCCAATAAATTTTGGCCACTCATTTTTAGTTTGGGTGATGTGGACCAATAGAAAAACTCTGAGCACATGCACATATTAGGGATGGCAATGGGTCGGGTCGTGGACGGATAGTGCATATCCGTTACCCTACCTAAAGTAGTTCGGGTTTTACCCATACCCATACCCACATGTGAAACGAGTAGAAAATTAAACCATTCTCATACCCGTTCGGGTTTCGGGTATCCACGGTTATCCATGAGTAATGATTTCTCTTCACAACTCTAACCAATATGCTAACATTCACACGTATTCTCAAATTACGTAAGAGGAAAAGTGTGACAATAATTCACTAGAATGAAGAAAATTAATTAAAACAACACAATTTCATGAAAATATTATATTTATATGCTAAATATAAAATATGTTTGACAACAATAATGATTATTTCTAGACAAAATACATATGTATGTGTATAATCAGGCGGGTTCAGGTTGGATAGGGAGAAACTCATGCCCCCCATTACCCGCAATATTCGGGTTCGGGTTTTACCCGTACCCACTAAATGTCCTTCGGATTCGGATTTTACCCTATCCGATTAGGCCGGGTTCGGGCGGATATCCATGGTTACGGATATTTTTGCCATCCCTATAAAATATGGTATGTGCACCATAGCGAGATTGGTTTACCTAGGACTGGACAATCGGTTAGCGGTTAACCGACCAGTTAACAATTGAAATAAGCCGGTTATCCACTAACCGAAAATCGTTGTAACTGAAAATTGGTCGGTATTCGGAGGGATTGACGATATGCTTTTGTTCTTGGGACAACTCGATTAACTGAAAGCCGTGATAATCGAAGTCTCGAAGCCTCTTTTCAATCGGTAGTCTAGATTTGAGAGGTAATTCGATTTAACTAATAACTGTTTTTCAGTTTTCAATTATAACCGAACCGACCAAACTCCAACCCTAGGTTTACCAACACCAAGCTCAAGAAAGTCGATACACAACACCAATTGATCCCCAGCCAAAAAAAATAAAAGGGAAACAGAAAAATATAATTTTGAAAAATCCTCCACCTCAAGCAAATTATCCATCTCTCCGAAACGTCGTTTTCCACTTCCCCGGGCTTTTTTTCTTTGCTTTTCTCCTTCCTTCTTCAGCCCCTCCTCATCGCCGGCGACCTTTCTACCCCGATCGTCTCACCAGCCCCCAAATCCTCTTCCTCCCTCTTGACAAAGAGAAATGACTTTCACAACCCATTTCAGCCACTGCTCCACTTCTTGCAAAGACAACTCCAAGCTATTCAGCAGCAGTAGCAGGAGTTCCCCTGCCATTCATCATCGCTTCTCCGGCTCAAGAAGACTGTGCCGCTTCCGGATCAATTCCGCCAACGGGAATCCTCTGGAAGCTTTGCCCTTACTTCCCATCTCGGAATCAGCAGCCGATTATGATTATGATGATAATGTTGAAACGGGGGATTCTCATTCCACTCTGAGCATAACAGTGGTCGGAGCTTCAGGGGATCTTGCGAAGAAGAAGATATTCCCCGCGCTTTTCGCTCTTTACTATGAAGATTGGCTCCCTCAGGTTATAAATTTACCTCTTCTCGTTCTTGTCAAACACCTCTACAATGTGATCAGAGATAGCAGCGGCAGATTGAGCCGATCGAACTAGTTTTTCTTTTAGGCCTGACTGGGTTTTTGGGATTCTCCGTTCTTTTTCTTTTTGCTATTCTATTTCTTGTGTGAAGAATTTCAGGGTGTTTGGATATGCTCGAACTAAAATGACGGATGAGGAGCTGAGGAACATGATCAGCCGTACATTGACTTGCAGAGTGGACAAGAGGTTTGTTTTAATGGCTCTGCACACTCGAAATCATTAACTGGGGAATCTAAAACCATGGCAACACCTTGAATATAACGGTATGACTGATAGCTCGTTCACTAGGCTGGAAACTCGTCCACTAGGCTCAAAACTCGTCCTTTATTAGAATTAGAAGTAGAACACACACAGATGTTTCTTTGCTTTAGTGACAAATGTGAATGACCGGGGTAAAAACAGGGAGGATTGCGAGCAGAAGATGAACCACTTCCTGGGAAGATGCTTCTACCAGGCTGGACAGTACAGCTCCGAGGAACACTTTGCTGAGTTGGACACCAAGCTCAAGGAGAAGGAGGTTATACTCATATAACATGAAATTTTCACACTTCACATCATTTGTATTGTATCATATTCATTCTTATGGCTTAGCTTGATTCTAAATGGGAATGTGGATTTCTGTTATGTGTAGGGAGGGAAATCGTCCAACAGGCTATTTTACTTGTCTATTCCACCAAACATATTTGTTGATGTGGTGAGATGTGCAAGCCTTAGAGCATCCTCTGCCACTGGCTGGACGAGGGTTATTGTCGAGAAGCCATTTGGCCGTGACTCGGAGTCGTCTGCTGAGCTCACCAAATGCTTGAAGCAGTACCTAACTGAAGAACAAATCTTCAGGTTTCAAAGCTTTGGTCCTTCTTTCTTTCATTCTTTCTCTAGGTAAATAGTTTTGTTTGGCAAACAGATCGGGTCTAGTCATTACAGACCGTAGGGTGTAATGGGTCCGATCATTACAGATTGCAGATCAAAGTAGATGGGAGTTATCATGGGTGACAGGTCATAAACAAGTTGGCCAAAAAAAATGTAAATTTTGGGAAATGAATCGAATTAGGTGGGTATTGAACCGGTTGATCAAATGGGTATGGATCATTGGATTGGTTCATAGTGGTTACGCTGCAATTGATCTAATAGTGATCACATAATGTGTTTGGGTGGGGGTTTAAACAGGGTCAGGCAATTTCTTGAGGGACAGGTCACTTCAAAGGAATCAGCATTTGCCCCGTGTTGTTGAACCCTTATCATCGACCACTTACTTTCAGTTTTTATGGTGGTAAACGGTTAAGTCTAGAAGTAACAATGTTTTGCTTCTGCAGGATTGATCATTATTTGGGGAAAGAGCTGGTAGAGAATCTATCAGTGCTTCGTTTCTCGAACCGGGTTTTCGAGCCTCTTTGGTCTCGAGACTACATTCGCAATGTGCAGCTGATATTCTCTGAAGATTTTGGTACAGAAGGCCGAGGAGGGTAAGTGAGTATGAAACACACACAGAGAGTTTTGGTTTAACATAACCTCAAAGGGAGTTTCATTGACTCTTGATTCTGATTGCAGCTATTTTGACAACTACGGGATCATAAGGGACATAATGCAGAACCATTTGCTTCAGATTCTGACATTGTTTGCAATGGAGACTCCTGTCAGCTTAGATGCTGAAGACATTAGGAATGAAAAGGTTAGTACAAATTGTTGATTCACTTCTTACCTTACCTGTATTGTATAGTATTATTTCAAGTTTCAACAAGACCTCCTTCATGCTAGGAATTGAGGATTAGAAATGCCCTTTAACTTCCCATTATCAGAATGTTGCAGCATGGATCTTGACAGTGAAAGGGTCTTGGATGTTGACTTTTATAGGTGAAGGTACTAAGGTCAATGAAAACTCTGCAACTTGAGGATGTAACCCTTGGCCAATACAAAGGGTTCAGCAAGGGTGGGAAATTATACCCTGGTTATACAGATGACCCAACAGTGCCAAAGGATAGCATTACACCAACATTTGCAGCTGCAGCTCTCTTTATCAATAATGCTAGGTGGGATGGTGTTCCCTTTCTCATGAAAGCAGGCAAAGCTCTCCATACCAAGAGGTTTGGCATATATAGTTCCTCCTTAATTTCCGTAGCTCTTAGGTATGCACTCACAACAGTTGTCTGTCTGACTGTCTCCATTAACGTAACTCGATCAAGAGTTGTTTGATATGCAGGGCTGAGATAAGAGTGCAGTTCAGGCACGTCCCAGGCAATCTGTACAAGAGAAACTTCGGAACTGATCTGGATAAGGCTACTAACGAGCTGGTGCTCCGAGTTCAACCTGATGAAGCCATATATCTAAAGATCAACAACAAAGTCCCTGGCTTGGGGATGAGACTTGACCGCAGTGACCTCAATTTGCTCTACAAGGCCAGGTACAATAGTAAACCACATGGTATATAAACAAACACGTCCAGCTCACCATTTTCGGCATTCCGCCTAGTTAGCGTACCCTTGATGACTCACATGCTCAAAAAAGACATTCTCTCCCGGTTAATGCCTAGTGTTCTTTCAAATTGTGAAGGTATCCAAGAGAAATACCAGATGCGTACGAGAGGCTGCTATTGGACGCCATAGAAGGGGAGAGGAGGCTGTTCATAAGAAGCGATGAGCTGGACGCTGCATGGGCATTGTTTTCGCCAATGTTGAAGGAATTGGAGGAGAAGAGAATAGTTCCAGAGCTGTATCCATATGGGAGCAGAGGCCCAGTTGGGGCCCATTATCTTGCCGCAAAGCATGATGTGCGATGGGGAGATCTTAGTGGTGATGACTCTTAGTATGCGGTTCTGGTGCTCTTCTTGTGATTCTAAACTTGCATTCTGATAGAATCTGATAAAATTAATTATTAACAATTTCAAATTATGGTTGATGTCATAACGTTTACTTTATACATCATTGTCATAAACATAAATCAATTCCACGAACCAACTTATAGTAAATAAATAAAAAATTCTCACTTCCTAGCCGAAAATAAGATCGGGCTTGTAGAGGTGTATGTTGGGACAGACGATGTCGGTCAGGGTGGAGCTAGTTATAGATATGATGGCGGTGAAACCTCTTCAAATCACCATTTATATGGTGATGGTGTTGTAGGAGTTGGGATGGCAATGAGTCGGATTTTGCCAAATTCAAACTAAAGCCAACAAGTATACTATATCAACAAAAAAAAAAATCTAGAGAAAAATCCAACGGGTTCTGAAACCTCAAACCCAACCCACTAGGTATCCATGACCTTGATTCTGATGGACAAAAATGCATAATACCAATCTCTTGTCGAAATAAAAGTTTATTCCCAGACAAATTATCCACACAAAAAACACCAATATAGTATATATAAGCAAATTCACAAATTATCCATACAAATTGCTCAATATTAAAAATAAGCATCCATGAACAACACGATTAATCGACGAATTGTGAGAGTTTGGGTGGTGGGCGGGTATCTATTTGTTGGATATACCTAAACCCGATCCAACCCAGCCTGTTGAATAGTGCAATCGATTTCAAGCCGCCCCGCAATCCATCAACACGACTTTTACCTGCTTTGACCGGGTTGAGTCATGAAGGGTACATGTGGATTCGGGTTTTGTTGCCATTTCTATGCAAGAGAGTACGAATGAGTTGGTTATTCAAGCAACTATGAAGGAGGTAGTTATGCAGGCGTCGATGTGGGAGATGGGGTAACATGGGAAGAATATCCTCATCCAGTTAGTTCAGTTGAGCTCGCCCCCATCACATGAGTCTGATGGCGTTCTGATCCGGGCCTAATTGCACATATTTTGCCCTCGTTTTACTTAGGTGTTTTTGCCAAAATCACTCCTTAAAGGTTGGTTTTACGCTAGGTTCTTCGTGTTTGAGTGTGTTTCAGGATTTAACAGGTGAAACCAGCCTCGGAGTCGAAAGATTGGCGAAAAGGATCGAAAACTGGGAGAAGAGGTGAAAAAGAGCCAGTTCACGGCTAACAAAGGGAGTTCACGATCTTGCATGACCGTGAAGAAGAGGAGTTAACTGTGAATCACAAGGCGTCCAGAGCCAAAGTGAAGGTTACTGACGCAAGATGAGTTTACGCTCACTAAGACCGTGAACAAACCCAGTTGACCGTGAACTCGATTGAACGATGCGGCCCGTTTTGGCGCACGCCTACAGTTCACAGACGCGTTTCATGGTGCACGGCCGTGAACTCAGCTCATCTCTGGTTCAAAAGATGAGCTGAAAGGAGGAGAGAGGGGGGAGCCCATTTGGTGTGAAAATCATTCTTCTACATTCTAGAGAAAGAAACACGAACCAAAGGGAGAAGAAGGCTAGGGTTTAGCTTCAAGGCAGATTTTGGGAAGATTTCCTCCAAGGAAAGCTCAACTCAAGGGCCAAAAAGACTGGGAGCATCCTCCAAGATGGTTTCCATCTCTTTCCCTTTTGTTTTTCCCACTTCTAGCATGGAGTAGACCTATATGTGTATTGGATGATTGTCATTGGGTATTGTTCAATTCAATGATTGAAGCATTATTTATCATGATTGTGCATGCTTGTGCTTAGCAACTTAGGGGTTGTGCATGTTTTGTGCTTAGTACCCTTAGGTTTGTGCATGTAGGTGCTAGCAATCTAATTGGCCGCCTTAGCCTAGCTTAGAGAGGAAAATCCTTCTTCCAAGGGGGACTCAATAGAGTTGGTTTTCCTTTCGCTTCCTAAGCCACCTAAACTAGGTTAAGTTAGGGAAAACCTTGATATTGAGTTAAGCAAGTTGGTTAATCGCGATCAAGACGTTCGACCTTAAGGTTGAGTGAGTGAGTATGTCAATTACCGATTGTCTAAACCGAGAGGGTCGAGTGACACGACCTTTCATGCTCTCCTCGGTTTAGAAATTGAGATTGTGGTCTCCGACCACATATGCATCCCTCTGTGGTTCGCGATTATCGTGACCAAAGCAATCATTCCAATCCACATAGCATGGTAGCTGATAGGGGGAAGCAACACCTGAGTGATCCTTCCACCAAAGAGTTATCAAAACCATTTACTTTTGCTTTCTTTCATTTCAATTAGCAAATCCTTAAACCAAAGCTTTGTTGCGAGGTGATGATTTCAACAACTGAAGTAGGGATAGAAGGACCGACCCAGGTCGATATCTAAATACTTTCCCTATACTGCACCTGACTAGAGTTTAAAAAATTGGGCTCTAGTTGGGTTTTTATTTTGGTGTAGTTTCGTGCGAGTCAAGTTTTCGACGCCGTTTCCGAGGACTTGGGTCTGTTATTTTAAAAACGTTGTTGGTTGTTAATCTAGCTTTTAATTTCAAGTTTTACAAGTGTGTGTGCTTTGCTTGTGATAGACTTGGTGTGTTTTTCAACTGTGTGTAGGTGGTGCATGACCCGAAGCAACCCGACACCTTTGCTACCACTTGGCGAGGACATAAACAGGACTCTCCAACTCCTAGCACGGGAGAGAGAGCTAGCGGAGGCAAGGAGAAGGAGTGAAAGAAGGGGACAACAATTGGGTGCCGGTATTAGTGGAGAAGTAGTTGAAGAAGTGGAAGTTGAACCCGTCATAGAAGTGGAAATGGAGTGGAACCAAAGGCAAGATGCTGCTCAAGCCCACCAGTTGAACGATGCGGCGGAGGAAGAGGATGCCCCAAGGACGATGGGTTACTATATGGCCCCAAGGCCGGCGGACATTCAATCGCCAATCCTACACCCTCCAGTGGCGGCAAACAATTTCGATATCAATCCGACTCTAGCGACTATGATACAAAGTAATGCTTGGAGCTCGCGGGCAGTTTGAAAATTAATGGTGTGCCGGGCGAAGGTTTGCAACTAAGGCTTTCTCCATACTAACTCTCGGGGAAAGCACTTAGGTGGCTAAACAACCGCCCACCTCGGTCAATCACCTCATGGAATGACCTCCTCAATAAGTTTATGGCGGAGTGGAGAAATAAGATTACCCATTTCGAGCAAGAAGAGGACGAGACCTTGAGGGATGCTTGGGAGAGGTACTATGATTACCTTCCTCACTGCCCTCACCACGGCTTTGAAGAAAAATTTCATATTGAAACCTTCTACGAAGGCCTAATGCAAGAAGATAAGATCCTTATTGACTCCTTGTGTTAGGGGAAGTTTATGAATATGGCTCTGCCCCAAATAATCGAGATACTTGAAGATATGGCCCTTAGGGGGTATTCTTGGGGTTGACTAGAAGTGGAAGAAGAAGCAATGATAGGGGAGCGAGAAGCGTGGGATCGAGTGCTCCACTTGAGGCAAAGTTGGATAAGTGGCTTGAGGTTATGCTTGAAAATAAAAGGCAAGGGAAATGGGCGGTAATGTCGTGCGACTGGTGTTCAAGTGGTGAAGTGGTGTCCCCGTATCGGGTGTTGTGGTTTTGCGGTTTATGGTTGTGTTGTGATCGATTAGGAGGCACGGAGGAATAGGTTGATTCAAATTTTTTGCAGAAGTGCCCTGTTTTCACTTGAGTTCACGGACGGATTGCTAGTTCACGGTCTTATAAGACTGTGAACAGGCAAACGCGTCCGTGAACTGGGTAATAATGTATGTTCACCACCTGTCAACCACTCTGTGTTAACAGACGCGTTTGAGAGTTCACGGTCTCTAAGTCTGTAAACTGGGAAACGCGTCCGTGAACTCCGAGCTGTGCCTATAAAAGGTGCGTGAACGACGACTCTTCACTTCACGACCAAAATCTCGCCGGAAAGTTTCAAATCTTCGTCGGAAAACACGAAAATCCGTCGGTTTTACAACCTTTTCCCCTTTTCCGGTAAGCAAAACCCAAAACCAACGTCATACCTAGTTTCCTTTCCTCAAAACCGGCCTGTTCTATGAATTTGGGGAGATTTGGAGCACATTTTTTTCCGGCCAAGTCACCGACGGCGAGCCTCCGGCGAGCTTCCGACGAAGCTCTGACAACCCCTCTTCAGTAAGTTTTCGAACGTTTTTCACCGTCCTCGCCCGTACCTCACTTCCTCTTTCGTCCTACTTGAGTCTCCAGGTTTGTTTTTTCGACTTTATCTTTGTGAATTGTGGAGAATCGGATTAGGTAGTGAAGTGAGGTTGAATTTTTGTGCTTGGCATGATTGAATCTAGATTTAGGGCGAGGACCTAGGTGAATTAGGTCGTGTGATTGATGGATTGATTATTGCATGAACTTAGTGAGCTTTGGCGGGCGTGTTTGAACCGAATTGTGTTTATTTTTAGAATTTTCCCACCAAGTGCTATGTTATGAATGCAAGTGGAGTTTGTTTTTGTTTGATGGATGGTAGCCACCGTGGTAGGGGTTGCGGTTCAACTTTTTGTTTGCTTGAATCGTGAAATACCCACAACCATGCCACGGTGGTTTGAGCTTAAATGTTTTGACCATGGTGGAAAAACAAGAGTGGGTGGAATCTCTTTTCCTCACAATGAGCAGTATATGACGATTATTTCCACGTATGGTGTGTGTTTGACCTTATTATTCTAGTCGATGGACTAGAATTGAGCAATACCTATCAATTTTCTCTTCCTTGAATTGGTGTACCCTATTCATGGAATGGCGTACCAACTCACCACTGCGGGCACTGCCATTGATGTTTTCCCTTTTTGTCTCAACCAGGCGTCGCCCAGTTCCATTGCACCCTGAGCCCAAGGCTAAGTACATGAATTCATGGATTTAATCAACATAGGAGTCCCAATCCACCCATCCCGAAGGAACAATAACGTCCAAATCTAGATTAACAATCCCCTTCCTTTAACCGCTAACCAATAGTGCAAAGCTTTCGCATTCTCAAAATCTGAACCTTACCTAATTATAGCATGCTAGACAACTCACCCACATGAAAGCCATGGAATATGATTTAGCTTAGCTCATTTCAATTCCCTGTACTTAGTCTCAGTGGCGGATCCAGAAATTTTACATAGAGGTGTCCTCTCTTAAAAATTAAATTAATAATTAAATAATTATTAAATAAGAAATATATGATTTGTACAAAATAGAACAAAGCACATGACGTGTTTCGTATTCAGGAAAAATTATAAAATATAATCGATGTCTAGCAATGCTCTACAAATCTATATCGATATATCCAACTAGACAAGGGGAGTCCATAATTGGGTTAATCCTTAGATTTTGAAAATAATTGGCGATAAGAAATAGCTTTTTACTAGTATATTTGGATTTAAAATATAAGAACAAATGAGTTGTGGTCTAATAAAAAATATATATTTTCTCATAATAGAAGTGACCCAAGTTCAAATCACATAAGCTACCACTTAAACGTTTTTTATTTACATGTACACAAACTACTACTCGGGGTTGGATAATCATTTTTCCAAATTTTAAGAGTATCTCGCTATCACTTAAATATTTTTCATCCATATACAAACTACTATCGGGGGTTGAATAATCGTGTTCCCAAATTTTAGGGATGTCCCGGGACACCCCATGGTGCCATGTATCCGCCACTGCTAAGTCATGCTCCCTGTAGCCGCACCAGAAGGTAGCACTGCATACTGCCTTCTCCCCACAAATTCTCCACTTGCACCCTAAACATGAACCCGCGTATGCATCGTCCAATTCATACCTATAACCCACACCTTTTCACCCATAAATGTATGCACAATAACTATATCCATCCAAACAACATCAATTAACGATCCCGCGAACAACCAAGCCTTACCTCCTTAAGTGTTGTTGATATATCCAGGCCTTTGTTCGTCATCGGCACCAACGCCTCAAACTCTTCTCTTTGCGAACGACAGCCAGATCCGTAACTCCGACATTTTGTCTCAGGTAATATCGGACCTCTGTCCTCACTGTATCTCTCGGTGTGCTCACCTCCTCCCAGGTCACGTACTTTGCCTCCTCTGGCGACAAATTAAAGTTGAAGCCGATCCAAACCTCTATCCCAATACCGGATTCGTCTACTATACTAGGTGGCTGCTTCTCCTTTGCGAAGGGTCCTTTACATTTATTCCCGCGATCTCATCTAAATGGCGACGATGGTGGGATGGGGTGATTAGAGCTAGCTTAGATATAATTGCCCCGGGGCATTTTGGGAATTTCAAAATTTACCGTTTAATCTGAAACTCGGTTAACGCTGGTAACTTTTTGCTTTTATGTCGAAACTCGACACCGTTATAACCGCGAGTTAGCATTTTTAGTTCTCATCGATAATACGGTGGAATTTGACCAATATTCTCGAGGGTATAACTGTCATTTTGACTTTAGAAAAGAGCGGGGTATAACACATCCCCAGTGGCGCCAGTTCTTGACCATGGACGAGGAGATCTTTCATGAGCTATGCGTGGAGTTCTACTCCACCTTCTCACACATCGTCCCGGCCAGCAAGAAGAGTCGGCCACAGGTGGAGTTTATGCTGGGAGGCCAGCCACGAGTGCTGACCTATGATGGTTTTGCTCAAGCCATGGGGCTCGACACCGCCCACCTGAAGATGACAGAGCGGCAGTTCACCGTCGACTTCAACTATCAGGGCGCATTCCGAGCCCTTTGCCGCCCAGAGCACGAGCAGGACGAGTTCGAGGGAAGCCGCACCAATGCGGTGAAGCTGAAGACCCATTGGAGGATTATCCACACTTTGCTCACCAGATCCGTCGTCCCTATCCTCCAATCAGACTAGTTGATGACGAACAGAGGGCTCATTGCCCTCTACAAGATGAGGAGTCCAGCTGAGCCGATCCATCTGGGATCGTTGATCGCCACCTCTTTTTCCCGATGCCTGGGGGGGAATAGGGTGGACACTATGCATATGGGGGCATCATCATGAGGATCACCAGCCAATTCCATGTGGATCTGGCCCACTGCACCAGCGTCGGAAGGATGGACCCCTTTCTAGTGGAGACATTATATAACCAGAAGCTGGTACTCCAGGGCGAGAGAGGAGTGGAGTATCTTGATGAACTCGGACCTTCCGGAGTCATCCGAGCTGCAGCAGCACCGGCTCCAGTGGAGCCCGACCGCGAGGTCCCACCAGCAGCAGAGCAGCCACCTGCTCGAGCACCCGGCCGCCGTTGGCGCCCAGCGCTCCGGCGCCCTGCACAGCAGCCACCACCACCAAAAGCAGAAGATCCCCTCGTCTAGAGGGTGGATCGCCTTGAGACGAGCTTCATGGGATTCTCATCCTGCCTCGACTGGCAGTCCAACATTCTCGAGCTCATGGCTCGATGCCAGGGTATCCTACCCGAATCTGGAGAGGGTCCATCCACCGGAGAGAGGTAGCCGACGAGTGAGACGTGTGGCCGAGCAGAGTCCTTTCGCCCCACTTCTCTACTTTTAACCCTGAACTCGTTTTATTTTTGTTTTTGTTATTTTTCTTCATTTTGTGTGGGTGTGTGATATAAACTACTGCTACGAATTGTGCTTGTAATAATCTCGCCTTGAGCAAGTCGTATTGTGTTTGTGTGTGTTATTTTTGTCTCTTCTTGAAGCTCAAATTATACTACCCCGGTTCGATTCCCAACTTCACTCACCAAGCCCAAACGGTAACATCATTCTACCCCTTTCTTTCGCCATTGAGGGCAATGCCGAGTTTAAGTGTTGGGGGTTGGGGTAGTCTACTAGTATGCTTGTCTGAGTGTGATGTTGCGTCAAGCCTTTTGTATGCCCAAATTTCAAAAATTTGAGGGCTCCAAGCAATGTTAGTATGGTCAAAGTGGTCGGATGGTGGGAAATTCTCGTGTTTATGGGCATTGATCTTGAATTGTTGCATGTGATCGAGTATATCCTATGATGGTGACTGAGAAGTTCATTCGGATAGGCAAAAGTTTAGTTCTCAGGTGTGCATAAATGATTGGATGTCTTGACTTGATCACTTGTTGTTTACAATTGCCATGCATTGTGATTTTGAATTGGAATAGATGGTTGGGTAACTAGGTAGCTTGTGAGCTTTGAGCCGATTGTTTCTTTCGGTGTGATAGTTCCCTCTTACCACGGTGTGTAGCATCACAGTTGTCACTAGCGTAAAGGTGTTAGTAGAACGACCCACCATCCTTTCTTCGTGTCTAAACATGAGTCACCCGCGTGTTCCGGAGCTCTCACCTTTGAGTCT